ATAATACGTAAATACGCTGCAGTGCAAATTCTTTTAGCGCAACTAACTCGTCGTTTATGTCAAGGGCGTTCGTTCGCGCCTCGCGCCTCGTCCCCTGGCCTTTATTGCACGTATACCCGCTCGTGTGGTGATGCTTTTTTGTTGCATAAAATTTAATTAAAACGGCCTTTATAGTAAAAGGGACTCGTGCATGGTATAACCGATTACTCGACGGTATTTACGTGTTTGTTTGTTTTGTAATTATTAGTTATTCAGTTGACTCTTAAAGTAAAATGATTATTATTTTGTTTAAATTGGCAATGATTATGAAAGCTTGTCGAATGAATATGAGTTTTACTAAATGTTATTTTAAGATTTTTTTTATCTTAAGGTCTTCTTTTGTTTATTGGTTTCTTTATCATTTATTTAGATTTTAGAATATTAAAATAAAGCGTAAACACACACTGCTTTGTTGCCTAATATATCAGCAATCAGAGGCTATTTTTGAGTAGTTCTTTTTTGATAAAAAGCCCTGCACTTACGTCACGCTTTAGGCTATATATTTTCACGCCATTAAACTTAATGGTTAAATATTTTGGATAAAATGTGGGAAAGAGACCATAAGTTGCTGCCAACATCAAGGAAGCATAATTGCCATACTTCATGTCATGTCATTTTGACATTTGCAATTGAATTTGACAAATGGAATCAATAAAACAATTTTCATAAGTACATGCGAATGAAGTCGCACGGGAACTACTAGCTAGTGTTTTATAATACTGGTAGATAAAATATTTAACATATTAATTCGAAGTGAAAAAATGTATCCGTATCCGTTATCTAGATCTAAAGTCAGAAACATTTCAATCAAAGCAACATCAGCGACTGAGGCACGTACGAAACTCATTTGAGTAACAAAACATAACGCTCGTAAAAAACGAATTAAGCTGTACTCTCCGCTAGAAGCGCTTTTTGTTGTTCCATGCATTTCCGTGCAGTATGACGTAGCGCAAATGAAAAGAGCTGGAAAGAAAGCAATTTAAGTCTTGTCACAAGCAGCTGGTTGCCAAGCTAGCACCTTAATTGAGAATATATTAACTACGAGGCCGAGATCGTGCCCTCGCATGGAATGTCTTCTAAACATGTGTGGATTTTTTTACGTATTGATTAGTAAGAAACCAGTTGTGACTGTTTAGAAGCAATCTAGTGACTAGTAAGACAAAAACCAAGAACCATGACATAGTAAGATTTTAAAATTTAAAAGTCAAGATTTGTTTTTGTAAGCTATTACTAACACTTCATTATTCTGCTCTTTTCTCGACTTGGCACAATATGTACTTTTCCGTACATCCATCAGCCTTCATTGTATTCATAGTCCCTTCATATGCATATCCTTTTACATTCAATCTATTGATACATACTTTGGTCTTCTACTTTATTGTAGTCGTTATTTTCTTTTTTATGTTATGCCATTGACACTTGTATCATTCAAAGATTTTAAATTCATAGTTTAATGTCATCGTCGATGTTTAATCTGCCTTTGTCATGTTTACAGATAAAAATATTGTACACACTCATATAATACTAAACATATAAACTGTGGACTTGTAGACCTTTAATATTATAAGCTGTTTTCTTAGAATCCTGCGTTCTCAGCATTGTTCTACACTACGAAATCCGTACAATGAGTTTAACTCAAGTAATCACTTAATCGACTTGTTTACGTTATGTAAAGGATGTTTTTGTCCAGTTCAGTTCATGTTTGCATAGTTGTATCTTTATTTTAAAGAGGAGATTTCCTATTTTGTTTTGTTTTTAATGCAAAAGTGGAGAGAAGCTGTAAAGTGCTGCACGTGAGTCACGGGGCACTTCAAGTTTTATAAAAATAAAACCAAATACAGATAATGCATTCCGTAGTAACAACCAAATACAGATAATATTTTCTAACACCCGATGCATTGTATCATTGTTGATTTACGCATTATTTACTCTTTTTATTCCTATTTATTCCTATATACTTTATCCCATCGGAATCGCATGATCAGTTTTCTTTTGTTGGTAATCCATCTCACATACGTTACTATTCTTTTTATTTGTAAAACAAAGAACGGTCTTCTCTAGTTACACTATCCCCTGATATCACAATCGGAGTCTTCAGATGAAAGACCCTTGTTAATGTAGATATGCAATTAACGTTTTATTAAAAGATGGCTTTAAATGAACCACAAAGTTGCATTATTTTATTGAATATATTAAAACATTCTTTCACAAGTATGGTTTCTGACAAATGACGATTAGCATGGAAAATTAATTATTTGCTAACAGTTGATAAACTCGGGTTCGCGAACATGTAAAAACGATGTTTTCTTTTTATAAATGCTTTCAAGAAACATTCTCTAGGACAATTTAAAAACCGGTCAATAAAATTATTGGTCGTAAAGAATACGTTCTTTTTTTTAAATTTCCACAAATTGATGATTGCAAGACCATTTCTATCCAGTGTTATGGACCTGGCTCTAAAACTGGATTTAAAGGTCGAAGAAAACATGTTTGACTTCTCTACTTATAGACTTGGAAAGGCCTTTGAACTCGAAAACAGTGGCTAAAGAAGTATACGTTTATTTTCATAAATGAGGTAAAAATGTGATCAAATTTCAACTTCCTATGTAACGCGGAAGTGATCTGTCACGCCGAAATAAAGCCGCAGTTTAAATGTGGAATAATTTTCATTTTTGTTTCCATTAGCATTTTTAATGGCAACATTTGGTTAATTTCCTTTGTAACATCAACGATAATGTCACATTTCCGACAACAATAAACTTTTTTAGAGTTTAAAGTTTCCTGTACGAAAATTATTTTAGTGTTTTTGATACTTACAGAAACAAAATGCTTGTTATAAAAATGAAATAAGTTTAAGGTTTTATCCGATTTAAGAATTTTTAAGAAGTACGAAGGATTTGTAAGAACACGACCCTCGGAAGGAAAAATCTTGACTTATAAACAATCGGAATGCGTATAAAACAGCTCGTTTTTAATCCTGATAATTTCTAAAGGTTAGCTGGAATAGTGTGACTATATGGCCAGGATATAACGTGTTCAAGGTGGGAGTCATCGACCCTCGCCTACAGCGCCCCCTCTCGAGAGTTCTACTAATGACATTTGCGAGGTATTAACTCTATACGTTGCACCGTGGCCGCCTCCGCAATTACGTTTTTATTTTCTATTTTCCATTATCGCCTACTTCCTTTACGGCGTTAAGGATTTTTTATACTCCCTTAATTATTTCCCCGTCGGTCATTGTGCAGTTTTTGCAGTTTATTTCAGAAAAATTAGCGCTCTATTTACGGTAGCGAACGAGCTTCGCAGCTACGTTATTTATGGGCTCTGTTATCCATTGTTTCTTGGTGTGTGTCGAATGGATATGAGATTATTTCTTTACGCTACAAAAATAAATCTATTGTTAATTTTCTACACAATTAAATCTCCTACAAAATTTATAAACGATTTCCTTACTGTATATAGTTGTTTGTTTTAACAAAAACAAAATCATATACAGAATGTTCGTAAAAACATTTACTAATTTTAGTATGTAGTTATTCTTTTAACCAGACGCAACACTTAGCGATTAAAGTAGTAAGTTGTAATTGTAACGTATTTATTGTTTTTAAAGACTAAATATTAAAAAAACACTTAAGTGAAACAACAATTTTATTTAGCTTTTTGTATCCATTACTCATTAAGTAAAGTCGCCGTCCTAATGACTTTAAATGGAATGAAAAAGTGGCAGCTTGCTGGCCAGTATGCTAATTTAATTTTTCAACGAAAGTAGGTTACGTAATCTTTGTTAGATTAAAATATCGGTCCTTGTGACTTATGTGAGTATAGGCAAAATAGATTGTTGCAAGAATATATTTCAAAATGATAGAATTTTTGAATATATTCAATTATCTATAAAAGAGAACAGAACTTAGTAAATTATTTTTTAACTGATCGAAAACTCAATTTTATTTTACTTAATAATCACTTAGCACATGTGCTGGTCTTCCGTGGTAGCTGAAAATGACACTACTTCTTGCCCCTATCAGTTAATCACAATTGCCCCAATCATTTTTCATCTCTAGTAATTAACACCGCTTTATACTTTAACTCCGTGTCAATTTCACTTATTCCAAAACCGTTTTCCAATCCATCAAGTTATTAGTTTACGTTATTTTAATAATGTTTCGCTAGAAAACTTTTTTGTAGACGGAACAAATTCAGTTTTTAAAACCAAAACTATAGAAAAAAAAATATAGTCAGCTATTTAAATCTGGACGTGAAGTGATATTGAAATTACGAATTTTGAAATAAATTCCTGTCACAAAAATAAAGTTATCGTGGAATATTTAGTGGTGCTATTTCGAAGTATTTTTTAGTTTCGTTAACAAATGCCTTTTGCGTACAAAACCGCGAGGTTCTTGAGAAATGGCAGCGACAGCCGACTCCGATAATGTAGGAAGCGGAGCAATCCATCAGTCGTGCGCCGGAAGCCCTCTCACCCCTTACAAAGGCTCCCTACGAACAAGTTCTACCATTAGTACCTGAAAGATTTCGCTACTCGATGTTTTTAGAGCGGTCGAAGCAGCCAAGTTTTAGACGACTGAATCGTTGATCAAAAAAATTACTGGTAAAAATGCTACTAAAGTTGTGAATAATACTAAAATTAACAACTTGGTAAACCTTTATTTTAATAATCATAGCGGTGCCGTTTTATTTTCTTCTATGTAATGTTGTAGGTTTCAAAATCATGTCGTGCGAAATAAAAAAAAATAAAAAACAGAGTAGCCCATGTATTCTTCCAGACAATACTCTACATCTATGCCAATTTTTCAACGACATCCATTCAGCCGTTTAGGCTACAAACTCTAACAAACATCTGTCCATGTAAACTTTCGCATTTATAATATTAGTAAGATGTAATAGAATACTTTTTATATAGTGAATTTGAATTTGTTTGACTTATTTTTTCTTTTTCTTTACAGGTTCCTTTTCTAAGAACATGGATGTTCCCTTCACGCGTGCCTGGAAATATCAGAGATGAATCAAAGAACTAGAAAGAAAACTGTCAACTTTTGGCGCGATCAGGCGAATTTATAGCCTACCCGCTCCCGAGTCCATGTAATGTAAAGAGGACCGCGGAAGGGACTATACTAACTGTCATATCGAGAAAGCATATCTCAGAAGTTGTGAAAGAAAAATCTAAAACATATCTGTATAAATACTAGTCACCGTTTGTGATTGTAGTTTAAAACATTATTGCTCAAAAATCGATTAATTCCTGTAGTGATAGAATTATTTATAGAAAAAATTAGATGCATATCGACGTATAACTTTAATAAAAGATTAGTTTGTTACATATCAATTATCTATGAAGATGAAATACTATAGTATGTTCTTCTTGAGGAGGCGGACGTTAATATTGAAGGCGGTGTTGATACTGACAGCGGTTTGGTTCATGGTCGCTTTGCTGACGACAAATGGAGGATCAAGGAATTCAATTGTCGCTCCTCCGATAGAATACGAAGATGCTGAAGCGAAACCGCTAAAGATGGCAAAGCCAACGTCTGGGAAGAAGAAAAGCGAATCTTATGGAAATAATTTATCAGATGGTAAGCTTAGTGGTAAAAAAGAGCATGGCTTTTGGTGTAGGCTTATAACTTCTAAATTATTATTTTTTTATTCAAACGCTTTACTTTGAAATGGAATGCAATTTAGTCAATATATAATAGAACAGAGAAATATTGTTTTCAATATAACAAAGTTACACAAATTGTTTTCATCCTTATTTCAACTTTATTTCCTCCTCCTTCATTTCTAATTTTACGAATTGAGATTGTAAAAATAGAAGGTACATATTGAAAATGATATTTCGATAAATGGCTTAAAACCAAGTTTTGATCATAAACAAATACTAGTAAAAGTACAAATAGTAAATTAAAGTGGCGATAAAACATTACTTACCACAATTTAGTTGGTTCATTAATTTAAGGAAGCTCAAAGTTGGTGTCTTCATTTTTCTAGTAAAACCTTTTCTATCGTTTACTTTGTAAATCCATCATTTGTCGTAAGAAAAATAATTTGCCTTTTGTTATCCACTTTTGTATCGTCACGCGATTCTTTTATGCTTAATAAATCACAAGTTCCCCTTACCCAGCTTTATCTACATTCCTTTAGAAGACGATTGTCTTTCAAATAGCAAGGCAATAGAAATGATAATGAGGGTAGACGTTACGGAATACTTGAATGAATACCGAATGAAGATCCCTCTTTCATCCTTCTTAAGAACAATGTTTCTCTGTTTCTAATGACTTTTGCGTTATTTCTTGTTACTTATGATATTGCATGCTCGCTTGTGACGGCACAGCTGTTTATATCGTTTTAACAATTTGCATGATATTAAGCATTTATTTACAACAGTGCGGACGAGGATCGATTGGCTTGGTCGGATCGCTGGCGTCCCTGAAGGTAATAACTGCTTCATTTAAAATCATTTTCGATTCCTGCGATGAAAAGAGTTACATGTTTTATGAGATATCTTAAGATATGTGATTCTTTACGTTGTATGGTTCGTTTTGTTTTTGGTATAATTTTAGGCTTTGCATTTAGTGCTTATATTAGTAACCAGAAATGGGATGTGTAGAAAATTGACTAGTTGATGATTAACCGAAAAAAAAAAAACAAAATCGCACTTATGATAATACCATTATTAAATATACTTTTACTCATATAATTAAGAATAACTTTCAGTAATGTTTGGAAAATATAACTTCATTCAAGTGGAAAAAGTGGAGCAAGAGAATATAATGGCGGGAGGAAAGAACGAATTTTAGACACAAATTTTAATTATTTCAAAGCGCAACTTTCATGGCTGCTTTTCTTCTCGTGTTATATTTTCAACTCAATAATATGATGTGGCATATTTACAGTAATTTAGTTCACATTTAGATATTCACCGTATATAGTATTGGTAGTATTATAGATAATTACTTGTAAAAAATCATTGCATAATTCTTAGGGCCTGTCCCACCATTGGCTGATACTCAGATAGTTTAAAAATGACGTCACTGTCAGATAAGATAACGAAATCTGAAATTTCTATCACATATTTTACACGTTGGATTTTTATTAAACAATTTTTTATTTGGTGGGACTGGCCCTCAGTATTATGACAGATTTTATAACAATAACTATACGTTGATGTGTTTCTAGTCAATTCAACTAGTGCGGGGCACCATTTTTAAGTGTTGGCATATGTTTTTTGGATTACATATTCATATTATTAAGATAAAGCCTCTCGTCATGTTGAAGTGAACTAAATAGATTATTTTCTAAGGTATTAGACGCAGCTAACGTTAACATCATGTGTCAAGATACACTGGTCTAATTAAGTTCTAATTGATCACATCCTGTAGGGTTAGGAGTGATCGCAGCTCCAGGCTCGGACAATGCTCCAGGTGAACTTGGCCAGCCAGTTGTATTGCCTAAAAATATGAGCGAAGAAGCCAAATTAGCTGTATCCGAAGGATGGAAGAAGAATGCCTTCAATCAATATGTTAGCGATCTCATTTCAATAAGGAGGAAATTGCCAGATCCTAGGGATGAATGGTGAGAATTTTATTACTATTTGCCTAACAAATATCAGATTATTTCATGGAATTTGTAAATGTGACATGTATGGGGAAATTATTGAAATAAGAACAAAGTAATGTAAATAGGATAATCATGAGTAAAGACGTCCATAATTAAGCTATGAACACCTTCCAACTTATTTTCAGGTGTAAAAAACCCGGCCGATACTTAGAAGATCTGCCTCAAACTTCGGTAGTAATATGTTTCCATAATGAGGCATGGTCGGTGCTCCTCAGAACAGTACATTCAGTGCTAGACAGGTCGCCTGCACATTTAATAAAGGAGATTGTGCTCGTCGATGATTTCTCCGATATGCGTAAGTTATCACTGAGATTTGTCTTATTTACAGAGGTAGTGATTATAATTTAGCATGTGCTCTTAAAGTTTAAAAATAAAAAATGTTAGTACCATAATAAAAAAAGATTTCTTTTACAGCACATTTGATGCAACAATTAGACGACTACATGTCTTCACTGCCCAAAGTGCGGATAGTTCGAGCGACGCGGCGCGAGGGACTCATCAGGGCTAGGCTACTCGGCGCACGATACGTCACTGCTCCCGTCCTTACTTATCTAGATAGCCACTGCGAATGTACAGAAGGTAAACAAAGAAAAGACTTTGAACTATTCCCCAGAAGAAATAAAAAATTGGGCTACAGATATTCTAGTAGTTAAATTTTAATCACTTGTTGTTTTCAGGATGGTTGGAGCCGTTACTAGATAGGATCGCAAGAAACAAAACGACAGTAGTCTGTCCCGTTATCGATGTAATTGACGACAATACTCTAGAGTATCACTACAGAGACTCATCTTCAGTCAATGTTGGCGGTTTCGACTGGAATCTCCAGTTCAATTGGCATCCCGTTCCGGCGAGGGAAAGAGCACGCCACCAACATACTGCAGAGCCAGTGTATTCACCTACTATGGCTGGTGGACTTTTCGCTATCGATAAGGAGTTCTTCGAAAGACTAGGAACATATGACAGCGGCTTCGATATCTGGGGAGGAGAGAATTTGGAACTGTCATTTAAAACTTGGATGTGCGGTGGAACGTTAGAGATCGTTCCGTGCTCTCATGTCGGTCACATATTTAGGAAAAGATCACCTTACAAATGGCGTACTGGTGTAAATGTACTGAAGAAAAATTCAGTTCGTTTAGCAGAGGTATAGTTGGTTACTCCAAGAGTTTTTTTTTTTTGTAAAATAGGATTTATATTGACTATAACTATTTAAATATTTCAGGTGTGGTTGGACGACTACGCTAAATACTATTACCAAAGAGTTGGTAACGACAAAGGTGATTACGGAGATATTACAAGCAGGAAGCAACTAAGAGACAATCTCGGTTGCAAATCCTTTGAATGGTACTTAAAGAATATCTACCCTGAATTGTTCATTCCTGGGGAATCAGTTGCACATGGCGAGGTATGTATAACAGTAATTTTACATTTTATTTTTTTACAAATGCAACTTCATTCAAGAATTAAATATTCAAAATTTGATCTTGAACACGTCAGAAAAACTGCTAAAAATGAATGTTATATAACATGTTACGACGCATATTGACTTCATATTTAGTGCCAAAAATAATACGTGTACTTCCGAATTGTTGCTTACGCAGATCAGAAATGTCGCCTTCCAAAAGACTTGTTTGGATTCTCCAACGCGCAAGTCCGACCACCATAAGCCCGTCGGACTATACCCGTGTCACCGGCAGGGAGGAAATCAGGTCTTTAGTCGTTCAAAATTCGCAAAACTGCGGCAGTACCATCGTTTTAGAAATGTTAGCGGGACATCGTTTCGTCTCATTCTGTTTTTTTCGCTATTGCACTCTCCCATCCTGAGCACATTTCTGGACACGTTAGCGTATTACACTTACAGCACGGAATGATTTATTTTCTTGATATTTTTTGTAACGGTGCATGCTAGATACGAAACCGAGCGTTCGTTAGTGATTTGTGTCTCGACGGTGAAACTTTAGAGGAGATCGAAGGCGCGACCGGACCGCTAATGATTCACAAATGCCATCACGACGGTGGTAATCAGGTATCACAATACAATGGCCGGGTCTTGTTTTAGCTGTGTTGGAGTTTTAGATTGATATTAATTGGGATACCATGTCACACTATTCAACTTATTCAAATATAAAGAATAAGCAGGTAGTCGATTTAGTTTATCATTCATTTGCACTGTAACTTCATCACTCGACCTGAAGTGATGGTGTTACACGCACGCTTGCTTTGGCACGCCTTTTTAAATTTATCGATGGCATTAGATCGCGAATCCTTCTACGGAAATGTGCATCGACTCTGGTGCTGGGCCCGAAGAAATGAAGAAGGCAGTCAACATCTGGCCTTGCCACGGAGAGTACGGCAATCAGGTTTGTCCGAGGCGGCCATCATGTAGCATCTATTTAGCGCTTTGCTTCATCGTAGTTGGTTGTTGGTTTATCTGGGTAATTTAGTTGAGTGTCCTAACTATCACTGATAGATTACTAATACTGCCCACTAAGCGGCTTTTAATCACACTTGAGCAGTTCGGCTTATTTTTGTTCTCATTGTCATGGTTCCATTCATTAAGTACATATTTTTCAAGAGAAAGGAAGGTTAAAAATTATTTATAATAGTTAATGAATGGTCCCTTCTACTAACACTTCACAGTCACTTTGCAGGTTGACTTTTTCAAATTATTTTCTAAATTACAAATATTACATATATTAATGTTACGTGTCTACACGAACGCCCCATCAGTTCTTCAACATTGGTACTGCCGCTAGGTTTATATTTAGCTAAGTGTAGTTAACTCATAGTTTATTTAATACCTATTTACTAATTATGATATTTTGTGAATATTTTACAGAATGAGTATTTATTGCGTAGAGATAAGTATATATTGTAGATTCTTTTATCTTAATTATACTTGAATTGGGTTTTGGTTATTAAAGTTTCTAGTTACTAAACACTGTATAATATAATTATGTATTTAATATGTTGATTATTTTGATAAATTCAATAGGACATTTTGTTCAGTTTCTTAAGGACTGCTTTTCCATATTTGGGAATGGGAAAATAGCATGACTGAAGTGAAGTATTATTGATGATTTCATTTTTAAACATCACCTAAATCAAAAGTTTCGAGCTTCTTATTACAATTTTAATTGAGCGAAGCGTAAAATATTCATTAAAAGTTTCACATTTAAAGGTGGAGGAAGACAAATTAACTCATGCTTATAATTTATGGATTATAATACTGAGTTTAAAGGTTATCGCTCATTACACCCATTGGACAAGGATTCTCCGAGACAGCAACTCTTCGTCAACTCGTGGACGCTGAGATGTGTTTATTTGAACTAAATAAATATTTCTTAGAAAAATTGACATCTCCAGCTGTGTGTAATGAGCGATACCCTTAACATATTTAAATACCTCTCCCTTCTCTGGAAGTAGAGGTATTTAAATACGTTGCACTTTTTTTAATTGTATATTGTAATATTTCAGTATTGGATGTATTCTAAAAACGGTGAGATCCGTCGTGACGAGACTTGCCTCGACTACTCGGGTCATGATGTCGTTCTGTACCCTTGCCACGGCGCCAAGGGCAACCAACTCTGGCTGTATGATCCGAGCGTAAGTGTATACGTTTAAGTCGATAAAAGTTAAACAAAAAAAAAATTACCGTCACATTTAGAGTTGTTTACTGGTTGTTAGTCAGGCTTAGTGTTTATTTACCTAACTAATGTGCGACAGTGTAATAGTTTGAATGATTTTTGCACTAATACTGGCTGGATTCAGCTTTTCATCTTTCCGCCATGTTACAAAACAAAAGATAGTAACAAGTTCGATGTGATAATTAATTTAAAAAATTGCTAGCACTCTTAAAGAATCTAAGCTCAATAAAAATCATAATTAAAAGAGTTTGACCTCATTGTAAGTTATCATTATCTTTATTGATTTATAATGTTTTACAGACGAAGTTATTGAAGCACGGTTCAAGTGAGAAATGCATGACGATAGCTCGCAACAAGGATAAAATTGTCATGGAACCGTGCAGTGACGCTGAACCAAGACAGATGTGGGTTATGGAGAATTTCAACGCAGATAGACTAAGCCCTGAACTCACTGCCGACTAGCTGTCAAATTATGACGTGCTTTTCATATAATGGACTGAGTAAATGTATCTAAAGATTTGTGCTCCGGAGTCACTTGTTGTTGAACGCATTGTGCTTTACGTAAGTGATTTCATGTTTTAGAGATGAATTACTCGTAAATACCACATTTAAAAGTGAAATGAAATGCGATTAAAAGCGCGCGCATATCCTTGATTAAACTATCGCACAGATTCCTATGAGTACGTCCGCGCATATAAGCTCATCGAGCCGACTCGATTTTTAGTTGTGAAATTAAACAATCGACTATCGCACAACAATTGTGCGATAGATAAGTCAAAGGTGTGCACCCGCTCTAAGAGTTCTGAAATTGATCGTAAAGTCATTCTTATTGTTTATTTCTGTATTAAATTGATAACTGCTTTATATTTCTAGCTTTTTAAATTGATGTCACTGTGAATTGTAAAAAAATTGTATCGGAAAATTAGTTTGGTTTTTGAGTCGATAATATTTTGTTAATTATGTCAACTTAGTTCAATATTCTGTGCAGTTTCAGGTTATTTAATAATTTATTCTGTTTTATTTATCACTGCGAAGTATTGACATATATAGTCATCTCTCACATTCCCTTAGAAATAACAGAGACAAAACATTTGTTAATACAATTTGATGGTTATATTGATGTCAGAAAGTGTGTTTAAAATAAAGATGGCGGTATAGTATTCTTCTTCGAGTATTAAATTTACTTAGTAGATTTAGTCTTCTCTTTACTGTGTACATATCTTAAAACATATTAAAAATATCGCATAATTTCAATGTATTGAAATAGATAAATTTTAAACTGAAAATTAGTGATTTTCTGATGACTTGGCTTCTATGTGAATGTTATTGTGATTTTTATCATGTAATAAATGGTAGTCGTAACTTATGGATTAGTGGAAGATATTTATAGTTAGGTTAGGTTCACATGGATGTTATTTCATTGTTACGAATCGTAATTAAAACTTCAGCGTAATCTATATTCCTTTTTGTTTTGAAGTTCTGGAAACTCTGAAATTATTGTATAGCTCTCAGGCTTAATGAATTTATTTGTATTTTTTTTTTATTTTTTGACTGAATGTTTGTATAGCTAAAGTTTAATAGATTTGTCGTCTGGATTTATAAAGATAAAAAATATTTGTAGACGCAAAAATGACATGTGAAACATTTTAGTAGTTCTTTTTTTTTCTTTTTGGTGACTGATAAGTTTTAAAAGTGCCAGTATTTGTAATTTTTAATAAACTACCATATACTGCCATTTAGTCTTCCCATCTAGTATTTCCTTACTGCCTTTATTTCAAATAAATGTTAGAAAATCGTCGTTGATGTTCCAAAAAAAGACATTTTAGATATATGAAAACGCATTTTTTCGTATTTTTCATGTATTTTTTGTATATATTTGACTAGACTAAATTCTTGTATGTAATTATATGTAACTTAATCATGTAATATTAATTATTGACATTAATTTCCAAACGGTAAAGAAAATAATACTGTATTTTCTATACACAAAAATGATGCTATTGAATTATTTGTCATTGTAAATATTATTTGATTTTTATCTCTGTATTAATATCCTACTCGTATTGTAATTTTAGAGTTTTAAAGAAATAAAACGCAATCGGAGGTAGTATTTTTTCGTGAAATCACAGTTAATATATTATAATGATTTTCAACTACTGTAATTATGCAAAATTCTATCTCCTTATACTCTTTAAAAGAAGGGACAACAGTATATTTTAATAATCGATTATTAAAGCCTGTTACACACGCTCTTTATTTTAACAGTCTGATCGTTCAGATAAATCTAACAAAACTGTGAACAGTTCAATTCTCATCGATTAGACAGTTCTGATAGAACTGATCGTGTCTAGCTGACTTTATGGAGATCCGATTGCGTTCTATTTTCAAAATAAATCGTTAGAAAAAATTAAAAATAGTTGTAATTCGTATTCAGATAGGTAATAAAAAAATTAAATGTGCCTTATATCTTTACGTAATAATTATATTTGAATGTTGAATATCTGTATATAATGCAATGTCTCTAGTGTATAATAATAGTTAGAAATAATATCTAGATGGCGATACAATAGTCTTTGTAAAATAAAGCATTATGTTTGATTTGTAAGGATTTGTTTTATTGTAATTACCTCTTTGGAATATCCCTTTCATATTACACAGCCAACAAAATTGGGCAATCTATACTATTAAAGGGGATAGATTTAATTATTTTTTAACCTATGAATTCGTTCGTAAATAGATCTATCTCATATTAAGTGATGAAAGTATGAAAATTTTATTACATTGTTTACATTTGTCAATTCATCAATATCAAATGTCAAAATGACATAACACAATAAATCTTGGAAATCTTGCTTCCTTGATGTTGGCAGCAACTTATGGTCTCCTTCCCACATTAGGGTTTTTATCAAAAATATTTACCCCCTATGTTAAAGGGCGTAAAACATATAGCCTAAAGCGTGAAGTAAGAGTAGGGTTTTTTATTAAAAACAGAATTATTCTAAAATATGATGTAATTGCTGACATCTTAGGCAACAAAGAAGTGTGTGTTTACGCTTTATTATAATAGTATAGATTATAATGCACGTGGTATAAAAAAGTAGTAAAAAACATAACCTCTGTTATTCAGAGGTCTTTAATGATGAAAGAATTTTTGAAGTTGGCCCTAATAGTTTTTGAGTTATTTCAAAACATACAAAAATACAAATCTTTCCTCTTCATAATAGTATAGATAATTGTTATAAACAAAAACTAAGTAACAAAACTTAAAGGAAAAAATACTTGGTGATCTTCCAATAGCCACTGATTGCAAGGGTTCACCTTCAACGTTCACAGACGTGGATGGAATAAAGTAGCGAAGATTGACGTTTTGTAGCAAAATGTTTCGAATTCTCCATTAATTAAATATTTTATTTATTGAATTAAATCAAAAAATAGTGGAATTTTAAAGGTAACAATCTAAATTCATAATAATTGCAGACTACTTCAAATTAAAGTAATAATCAACATAAAATAAAGATGCTGTGTGTGATTGTATCGGAATACTTTGAACCATAATGCACTTTACATAGAATCCAATTTACATTACATCAAATCTGGGTAATAAAGTAACAACACAATTATACAAGCAACGGGTACAATTCCGTGTATAGGAATCAATATTATATTTGCTTTCGCCGGGAAGAGTAATCAAATTATATCAGAAGTTACGTCTACAGTATACGATACTGCAATCCAATATCGCAACTTGAAAAATAGAGAGATATTGCTTGTTCGGAATTGGATCAAGTTCTTTCAAATATGCTTTTCACCAAATAAACTTATTTAAAATGACATTATACGCAATTTGAGATTCTTCGATCCTCTATCTACATCTTTTCTTATATCACAAGCTGGAAAGCAACCGATCGCTGCAAATGACATCCGCAAACAGATGCGTTGCCTACCTTTGATCTATGAAGGAATTTACACACAAAAAGAGGATGTCACTTCCTTCTTTCCATTATTTTAGTATCAAAACTATAACAGACTAGCTTTCGTCCGCAACTTCATCCGCGTAGAATTGTGAAACACAAAAGTGAATAGCCTATCTGTTCTTCCAGACTATCCTCTACATCTATGCCAAATTTCATAGATATCCGTCCAACTCAGGCTACAAACTCTAACAAACATCCATCCATCTAAACTTTCGCATTTACAATATTAGTATGATTAATATAACGTGGAACACAATGTAACGTTAGTTGGTTTACCTTATCAAAATTTGTTCCGCCGTTTCTGAGATTTAAGGGTACTTTAATTTCAGGATTGGGTCGTTTATGAACTGTTCAAACATATACAAATCTGACTATAGAGTCTCTACCATATACTATAACGATATCATTCAGTGAGCGTAAATTATACGATACAATGTGAAGATACATTAGTGTTCGTCGGAAGCGTCGGTCACTGTAATTTATCCTTGCTCGGATTAATTACCATTTGCAACGGCCGAGAGCTTCTGATATAAAACAAGTTACGCAATCCTCTACATTTTGTAATTACAATGTTTACCTTTACATTAAGCGATTTTCCAATATATCACCTGCTTAACTTTTTTTTAGATTTATACCTTATTATCAGACATATAAAAGCCAAAATCCTTTGATTAAATGAGTTTATTTACGACATCACATTAGAAAACTAATATTATGAGTAATTCTCTACCCTATAATACGTGTATTTCACATACAAACCTTCCTCTTTAATAACTATATTTTACTCTTTAAAAACTGCTTCAAAATCCGTAACTTAGTTTTAAAGATTTAAGCTTATATAGAAACAGAAACACAGAGAGAAGCGACTTTGTTTTATTAATTGTAGAGATGCCTTTGGTAAAACCAAATCTGACGAATGTTAACCTAACAAGGCACTAAAATTAGGTACTTTTTAGATTCAAGTTACGGAATAAAGTAGAAAACTTATTAAATACATAATTATTTACTAATCTGTATTCATTTACCATTTGCATTAATAAGAGCTTTAGTTTACCGTAACTTTGTACTTATTTCGTCTTAAACTAATATAAAGTGTGATTCAAAAACAATTGTAATGCAGTTCATGTCTTAGTTAAGATCTTATCTTGAATATAAATGCTCCGTAGACAAAACTATCCCGAAATTCGATACTAGTAAACTCTAAACTCGCCCGCCCGCCTGAATAGATTACGGCTAAAGTAATTACGAAACACAAGTTTGTCAAGAAAGCGCCTACAGACGCCTACAGTTGCCTACAGTCGCCTACAGTTGCCTACACTCCCAGGTACGCCATCCGCTAGAATAAACAAACTTACTTATACATTCAAGAAAATTTGGAAGTCACGTGGAGTTTAGTTAAAGTTTGCGTCTTCTAAAAGTCTTTGCATTTTATAATTCAATTATAGTATTTGTAACAATCTTATTTTGTTATATAAAAACGAAAATCTGGAAAGATACCAAATGTGAAAAAATGTAGCCTTTCTAGTGTTATCGTTTTAATCACATTTGATAACCCAATATGCAGACTATGTAAATGTTCATCATCCATCAAAACTTTAGTATTTTTAATTAATATATCTTAATTCGCTTATTTACTACATATGATATTTTGCATGGTTTACTTAAAAAAATAGAAAACATATTGTGGGAAAAAAGAGCACCGGCTGCGGAATCCGATGACTCAAGCAACCAGTGGTCAGGGCTGCAGAGACAGGAACCTCCTTACAATGCGGTTTCTAAAATAGCCTTTTGAATCGGGCCCTTAATCCAACTGTCTAGCGAGAGTTTTTTGAAATGTTGGTCGAAGCTCTTCGCTATTAGCCCGTGCACCAAAACGTCTATCGGAATAATGGTAATCGATTTCATACGCCACATGGCGGTAACCTCGTGCGCCAGAACTAAATATTTTGATAACGTTACATATTTAATATTAGTAAAAGTAGAAACTTTTATGTGGAATGGATAAATTAAAACAATAACCCACATATACTTATTTACTAAAGTTTGTCTCAATAAGATAGATTAGTTTGACAATTTATATAAAATAGATAAATTTTATTTAAGCGAAATATCGATGATTGTTCGCTGCGTGTTTGTTCATCACTACATCATATGCGTCATTTATCAAACTAATATATCTTATTTGGACAAACTATAGGCCTGTTATAGTTTGTCTTTAACTAAACAGTTTTAATGTTTCAGTATAAAACAACAAGCATTAACGTAACCAAAGCAAGTAGAATTTGTAGCAGCTTTAGAGGCGCTCACAATGTTACTTAGAGTTTTCTCAAATAAATCATACTGTCTTAGTTGGAACAAGCGTATACTTTATTCAAGAGATTTTCCTTACACATCTTGTACAGCGAAACACTTTTATAACCCTCGGTGTTATTAAAAATAGAGATTATTTCAACTTTTTAAAGAAAAAACATTCCATAATTACGTATTAAAACATAATTATATATTCGTTTTTCTTTCGGAGATACTTGTATCTTTGTAAAAAGCATATAGCACCAGCTTTCGTCCGCGTGGAATTAAAAAAAATAGCCTACGTGTTCTTCATGACTGCTCTACATCCATGCTGAATTTCATTGAGATCCGTTCAGTAGTTTAGGTTACAAACTCTAACAAATATCTACTCTAACAATTATAAAACCCGCTTCCCAGGTCCCTGACTAAAAATTGCGTTAGGGGAACGACAGAGCGGCATAAAGCCGCATAAAAAAAACACCCATCTAAACCTTCACATTTTATTAGTGAGTTTTCTTGATGAAAGTCACATTTCGCAACTCTATTATTACGCATAACAATTTTTAATAGCAATGATTTGTTAAAAAATCTCGCTAGGCGCTAAAGTGACGGTATATGCTTATATTCCGTCACCTAGCGAGGTTTTTTTGAGAGAAGTTTTTTTAAGAGTATCTTTGAGGTAAAGCGTATTTAAACACTATTTATTTTTTAAGGTCCATTAAAAAAAGTTAAAAGTAAAAAACACTAACATATATAGTTTTTTTTTTAATTATCTCACTCTAACCATCTGAAAGTCTCGTTTGCAAATAAAACACTGTTTTTGAAACTCGCAATTTTTTATCGTAAGCCACAACAATGTAATTTCAGTCGTACTTTTCGTGGTTAAGGGTACTGTACAAAACGAGCGACATAGAAAGTCATTTTCTACAAAAGCGCCGCATTCGACATTGTAACAAATGAGAGCTATGTGGTTTTTTTAAACAGGAATTTTAGAAACAAATGAGTTATGAAAATGGTGAACAAAAAAGTTATCACTTACGTTTAGTCTCCGCTGGTAAATGCTGTAATCACAAAGTGCTTCTTACTAATATTATAAGTGCGAAAGTTTAGATGGATGGATGTTTGTTAGAGTTTGTAACCTAAACCGTTGAACGGATGTCGATAAAATATGGCATAGAAAGAGGATAGTCTAGAAGAACACAAAGGTTACTAACTTTTTTTTTTATTCCATGCGGATAAAGTCGCGGGCAAAAGCTAGTGTTTCTATAAATTACTCATTGAAGTTTCTTGTTGATATTCGTTACTGTTACAATTTCAACCTTTTTTATTTTCTTTTCAAATT